TGGCTTCTCCAGCTCCCAGGGCGTAGCATCATGTGTCTTGTCAGTGGAGCATCTCTCAGAGAGTGATCCTTGTCAGTAGAGAGTCTCCAAGGGGGTGAGCAAAAGGACAGAATTGTCTTCCGCTTCCAAGGAGGACATACAGGAGTTCCCAGAATCCTCAGGAGAAGGTCATGCCCACCCAAAGGCCTCATTGGTTATATCTTGATTGACAGGCCAGACTCCACCCCTTCCCTCGTAATCCTCTCAAATTGACACTAGATTATGTAAACTACCAGATCCACTTACTACCATTGAGTGGATTCTGACTCACAGCCACCCTCTAGGACAGAGTAGAAATGCCCCCGTGGGTGGCCAGAGATTTGTCTAACTCATTATAGGAGGAGAAAGCCTCTGCTTGTTCAGGGTGGTGGGTGCTTTTGAACGACTGACCTTGCAGTTAACAGCCCAATGTATAACCACAATGCCACCAGGGATGCTCCTATCTGCCTCTACCCACTCTCTCAGGGCCCCTCTGCCCTGCTGACATCTGGCACTCAGTTCCAGCCAGCTCTCTCTCTCTCTGTCTCTCTCTCTCTCTCTCTCACACACACACACACACACACACACACACACACACCATCGCCCCTGCCACCTGCCTTTGGATCCTGAGCAGCTGAGGAAGAGAGGCTGTGTGGGCTCCCCAGCAACCCCCGCCCCATCCCACCCCCACCCGACCACGTGTCAGAGCTGGGGGTGAGGGGGGAGCGGTTGTGAAAGAGATGGCAAAGGCATCCATCCCAACTCTCTTAGGATTGCAACAGCCTTCTGGTCTAGCTACCTCAGCACCTCCAGTCCCTGTCAGCCACCCCCGCTCACCCCTCACCCCCTGGCCTTCCTTCCGGACAGCTGCTTCTCCAGAAGAGCCCTGTGGTCCACCAGATGTCTGCTGTCCGCCCCACCCCAGCAGGACACAGGCTTCCCCCCAAAAAAACTCTCTGTGGGGCTGTTGTTTGTTACACAGCTGAGAATGGGGGTGGGAGGGACAGCGTGGTCCCTGCTGACTCACGCTGACCCCACCCCACACAGTGCCCTGATCTACAGGTAGCGGATCTCACCTGTCTTCTGAGGGCCGGGCCTCAGGGAGGCTTCGAACTGCCAACCTCTGACTGAAATCTCAAGCCCTGGACAGGTTGTGCCTTTTCAGCTGTGTGATCTTTCATTTTTCCGCAAGGAAGGGGGTGGGGGGTGTGGCGGAGAACTGAGGAAGAGTCCATGCATTTTAGGGGAGACCGAGGAAGGGGCTGAGAGGAAGGGGCCTCTGTCTACACACACAATCCCCCACCTGAACACCTCCTTTCCCCCACTTCCCAGACTCCAAGTTGTTTCTTTTCAGCCTACACTCCCTGCTGCTGGGGGCAGCTCTTCCCTGACCGGCCCCCCCAGCCCCCCGCCATTCACCCTGCCCCCGAACCCCCCTCGCAGCACCCACTGCCAGCTCTGTTCCAGAAACAACTTCCCCTCAGGGCCCTGCTTCACTCTTTTGTCTCCCTCTCTGCTTGACCATCTTCCTGCCTGGAAAATGAACCGTCTCTCAGGGGCTCTTGGTTAATGCTCTTCAAAGGGGGTAGGGGTAGGGGTAGGGGGTGGGGTCATAGCTCAACCCCCTCCGACCCTATCCCCACTCCTGGAACAGGCTGGGGTGGGGATAAGGCTTCAGCCACTGCCCCCTGGCCTGTGAGCCTTCACCCACTGGGTGAGGGATAAGGGATGACTCACACCCCAGGGTGGGGGTGGGGGGGTGGGGCGCCTCCACAGCGGGGTTCAAGGGCTTGCCAGGGATGCCGGGCCAGTTTCAGAGTAAGGAGGAGCCACTGGGGAACTGAGGGCCCAGGAGATTAAAAGTTCCAGCCTCAGCGTGTCCGGTCCTGGTGGCTCCCAGCTCTGAGAACTGAGGGGGTGGGAGAGGAGGGAACGGCCTGAGGCCCTCTGAGCCGGGCCAACTCCAACCTCTCACCCAGTCCCTGGCAGAGACCCTCCTGGGGGCGGTGGAAGGCGTGTCCCCTCCCCCTCCAGCCGGGCAAAAACAGAATGAAGAGGCCGGCAGAGATCAGAGCAAGAGAAGACTTGACCACGTGGGGAAAAAAAGAAAAAAAGGTGGAAATGACATTTTGCTATCTATGTACACTGGTTTTTGTTATTTTTAATGTGAAGACTGTTTCTCGGTATCCTGATGGCCCTAATGATTAGATGGTGGGCTGCTAACTGCAAGGTTAGCGGTTCGAAACCAGCAGCCGCTCTGAGGGAGGAAGGTGAGGCTGTCTATTCCTGTAAAGAGTTACCGTCTCAGAAACCCACAGGGGCAGTGCTACCCTGTCCCACGGGGTCACTGTGAGCAAGCATCGACTCAGTGGCACTTTGGGGTTCTGGTACTTTGGATATTTTTCTCCACACATCCTCACTAAGCCTAGATGTTTCCAACTCTCTAAACTCTTCCCTCTCCAAGCTCCCAGCGCACACGTCGACCTACGTACACCACATTCCAGATAGCCACTCTCGGAAACCCAGAGGGGCCGTTCTATCCTGCCCCACAGGGTCACTATGAATTGGGGTCAATGGCCTTGAGGGGGAGGGAGGGAGGGACCCCCACTGTGCGCCTTTCCAATGTTCTGTGAGCTAGTGACACCTGAGGGCGCAAGCTCAGGGATGGATGGCGTAGGTTTCCCAATAAAATTCTTGTCCGGCAGTCTTTGCTCCCCTGAAAGAAGGAGCAGGTGGATGGTCATGAAAGACATTCCTCCGGGCCATTTCCCGGCCATATTTCCCCCAACCAGTGCAGCTTTCTGCAGACGTCTCCCGTGATTGTCCTATCTGTCCTTCTAGAACAATCTATCAAGATGACTGTTAGATTCCTCAGGAGGGAGATGCCTTGGTCCTTGGCTTCGCATGTAGCTTGTGATCCAAGTGGGTTTTTATAAAGGACAGACGTTTCAGGTGTCACGGTCACTGAGCACAGGCACCTCAGGGCACTGCACACCTGCCTGGCAACCTCAGGCCAGGCGGCATTGCAGCAGAGCAGCCGGAGAGGAGGGCAGGCTGTGGATTCTGGCCTTTGGGGGCCTTCCCCCGGGAGGCGGGGTAGAGAGTGCTGGTTGACCCCATTGACTGAATTAAGCCCACCTGGCCTCCATTGGGCCAATCCAGGTGGACTGCACTCCGAAGGGTACCGCCCCTCCGGTTTGGGGCCTGAATGGGTGCATACCCTTTAACCTTTATGGGCTTCCAACTTCCTGTAGGCATGCAGAGGAACTAGCCCTTATCTTGCTACCTGACAACTCCCCTGGAATCCTCGAGATCAGTGGCCATCACCTCCTGAGCCGGCCTCTCTGCCTCGAATCTCCCTGGCCCAGCTGATCCCCAAGGAAGCCCCTGTTTTGACTGGACTTTCTTTTTGCGGAGGGTGGGGGCGTGGGAGGGGCCACCTAAGGAGATGCAGACCTGTTTTCATCGTGGAGAGACGGGTCAGGTGTCAGTAGCCGCCCACTGATCAGAGATATGTAGTCAGTCACCGCTTGTTTGGAATACGCCCGTGTATGCGAACTGGAACACTGACCACAAGCCTAATCCCTTTTCGATTTACTCTCACATATATTTACAAGTAAGCAAGCGCGATCGGAGAGAGAAAGCCAGACTGAAAGGAGAAGGGGAGGGGGGAAGGAAGATACCAGCAAGGCCTACCCCAGACTCCCCCCACCCCACTCCCCACCCCACAGCGGCAAGAGAAACCACAGAAGAGATAAAAGATCTTGTTTAAAGGCGGAGGAAAACAGGAAGCTGGAAAAGAAAGCCTCTAGGGACGGAAGCCAGGAGAGGGAGGAGGTAGAATCAGATAGGGAGACAGAGGGAGGGAAGAATCCCAAGGGAATAGAAATAAGAATTTTAAAAAATCCACCGCCATCCAATCCTCTCTAGTTCATAACAACCACAGAGGACAAAAGCCCTGCTCCGGAGGGTTTCCGGGCCTGTGCCTGTTTACCGGGAGCAGACAGCCTCATCTTTGCCCCTAGCCCAGAGGGACTGGTGGGTTTGAAAGGCTGGCAGCCCAATCCTTAGCCCACAGCGCTGCCAGTGGCTCCATCATCAGGACCCTGGTGTCCGCCAGGTCATTGAGTGTCACTTGATGTCCCCATCTTTCGTTGTTTAAGGCCGGGCAAAGGGTTGGGATTGTTTGGTTCAAGGACTGATTGTCCCAGAACTCCCCGACTGGGGGTCATTGGCCAGGTAAGACTAGACAGGCAGAGAACAAGTGAATATGGAATGTAAATGTGAACAGAGAAAAGTGCTGACATGGTCCATGTGTTGCTCATCTCACTACAATCAAAATAAAGGTAGCGTATTGGTGGGGGAGGGCGGGGGGAGTCCATGGAGACTGGTGGGACACTAGCCCCTGCATCCCCCAGAACCACCCACAGGCCCTTCAGGTCTGGACACCGTTTACCCAAGGGAGGTTGGGAAGGGAAGATTGGAAACAGGAGACACAGGGAGGAAGTGTGTGGATGGGTAAGAGATGGTACATCCGGGGTTTTTCGATGGCTGGGTTGAATCCAAATGTGTATACACTTTTGGAGGACAAAACCGATGATGTTCTTCTGTGCACCCTCACTGAATGTACCGCAGAGAAAGTGCGTGCAAGAAGCAGAAAACGGGACCCGGACAGGGGCCAGACTCCACCAGCGGCCCACAGTGCACAGCGTCCGGTCTTCACGGTCCAACTATCATCATTATGGAAATAAGCCACCAGGCCTTTCTCCCGTGCTACCTCTGGGTGGGTAGGAACTGCCAACCTTCAGGTCCAGGAGCCCACCATTGTGTGCCACCGCCCGCCCGGTCAGACATCAGAAAGGAACATTGAGAAACGAAAAGAGGGGCATGTGGAGGCAGACACAGCTCCGTCAGAGGCGGCTGGTCCAAGGCCAGGAGGCCCGTGAGGGAGAAGGACGATCAGCCACACCCAGCTCAGAAGCTGCTGTGAAACGGATGATTCTTTATTAAGCAGGGGCAGAGCCTCCTGTGCAGGGCAGTGGGATAGCAGAGGGCACGGGGCAGGAGTGGGGTCAGTAATTATCGATGGCCTCAGGGGCGGGCTTGGCGGCGTTGACGGCCGTCTGCACCTTCTCCACCAGGGCAGCCCACTGGCGCTGCATATCCTCCACCAAGGGCTCGAACCAGCCCTTGAGGCGGGTCTGGAAGGCCTCCGCCTGCTGGCGCATCTGGGCCGCCTGCTCCTCCACCTTGACGCGCACCTCCTCCACCTGCTCGCGCATTTCGTCCAGCCGGTCCAGGGCCCGGCTGCCCACCTCCTCCAGCCGCCCGCGCATCTGCTTGCCCCAGGCCTCGGCGCGCTCCCGCAGGGGCTGGCCGGCCAGGGTGCCCACGTTGGCGGCCCGCGTGCGGCCCTGCTCCAGCAAGGGCTCCAGGTGCTCCCGGAAGGCGCTCACGCTGCGCTCGGCGCCCTCGCGGGCCCCCGCGCGGTACACGGCCAGGCGCTTCTGCAGGTCGTCGGCGTCGCGCAGCAGCCGCTTGCGCAGCTTGCGCAGGTGCGAGGCCAGGCGGTTGCGCAGCTCCTCCACGTTCTGGCCCAGCATGGCCTGGGTCTCGCTGCGGTACTGTGCCAGGCGGTTGCGCACATCCTCCATGTCGGCCCCCAGGCGCGCCTGCGCCGCCTGCAGCTCCTTGGCCACGCGTGCCTGCGTCTGCTGGGCCACCGGGCCCAGCTGGGCCTCCAGCTCTGACTTGTAGGCCGACACCTCCTTCATGGTCTGCTCTATCAGGACCCTGCAGGCCAAGGGGGGCACGCGGGGATGAGTAAGAGGCCGGGCTGGGGGCCCGGGACAAGACCGTGAAAGAGGAAAGACGCTTGTCGCGAGTTGCCCTGAAGCCGGTGCCCACTCTTGGCGCGCCCATGCGTTACAGAATAGAATTGGGCCATACCAGTTTTCCTGGTTGGAACCTTTCGGGAGCAAATTGCCAGACCTTTCGAGGTGCCTCTGGGCAGTCTGGAACTAACAACCTTCTGGCTAGCAGCCCTAACCCAACCCTTAACCACTCCACCACCTAGGGACTCTTTGGAAGAGGGTGAGAGATGGGGAGAAGGATGGAGGCCAACCCAGAGAGGCAGACAGATACAGACCAGGGATGAGCGATGAGGAAACACATCAGAGCGACCCAGAATCTAAGAGTTCGTGATGGGGACCCGAGGAAACCCAGAGCCCCAAGGAGGCTGGGGGTCAGCAGGGCGGCAGTGGATCACTCACGTCAGCTCCTGGGTGACCTGGGGATTGCGAAGCTCCTGCTGGACTTCGTCCGACAGCGTCTGCACCCAGCGCAGGTAGTCCCAGAAGCGGCCCAGCGCCTGCTCCCAAGCCGCGCTGCCCTGCACCCCAGGCTGCTCAGCCCCAAGGGGGACCTCCATCTCGGGCTCCAGGTCGGCCCGGCATCCTGTAGGGAGCAAGCTCATAGCTGATTAGGATCTTTGCCCTTCTGCACCCCGGGTCCCTGGTTGGCAATAGGTGCTCCCAAGTGTTCCTGGGCCTTTTGGGGAGCAATGTGGTGGTGGTTGGGGGTGGGAGGGTGGCTAATCTCGGGATAAGCATTTATTGAATGGCCGTGCCTCCTCTCCCTTCCATGCAGGGCTACATCGGGGGTGGGGGTGGGCATCGGTGGGTGTATGGGAAAGGGGGGAGGGATGACTGAGAACAGCTCTCCGGTCCCTGGTGTTTATCTAGTGCCCCCTGCTTGCTAAAACCTTACCTAAAACCTCTGAGAGCTGGAAAAGTGACATACATTCCCCTAAAACAAACGGGTCGCTGAGGACCCCTGTTGGCACAGCGGTTACGCTTTGGGGTGTTCACCTGCAAGGTCAGCCGTTCAAAACGACCACCAGCTCCTGGGGCGCGGGGTAGAGGGGTGGAGTCAAGGTTTTCTACTCCAGGGAAGAGTTAACAGTCTCGCCAGCCCACAGGGGTCGGCGACTCTGGTTTTGTTTCTGGTCTGAAGGATTGCTGGCAGGACGGCAAAGAGGGACTGACTACGCCCCACCAAGGCGGTACGCTTCCCAGACCCCGGAAAACCACGGCTGTCCTGTCTGTCCAGTGCCGGCTTTCGAGAGTTTCCCCGCTCCCGACAAAAGCATGAACTGAAAACAAACATGCCCGCCGCCACCGACCTGATTCCGATTCATGGGATTGTCGGGGAGGGGGAGGAGACTCGAATGGGGCAACGGGCAAAAGGTGAAGGGAGGAGGGAGAGGGAACATGGAAGGTGAGCAAGCCCGACCCCCATACCTGCCAGGAGGGCCGCCACCAACACGGTCCACAGGGGCTTCATCGTCCGGCGGCGATTGGTCAGTCTAGGGGTGGAGAGCGAGGGCCATCCATAATTCAGACCTGAGCCGAGCCCCGCCCCCACCCAAACACCCCCTTCCCCCCAAGGGGTCTTCTTCCGAAAGTCACCCATTGTCTCCTCTTATCTCCCTAGCCCGGGGGACCAACATCTCCTCCTCCTCTGCCCGGGGGGGTCAAATTCCAGCCTCCTCCACCTCCCCCCTGCAGCCTGGGTCCCAGCCCAATTCCAGTCCCAACTGGGCTTTCCAAGTTCCAATGGTTCCTCGCCCCGCCTTTACTGTCATCTCCAACTTGCCAGATCTCGCGAATTAGCTAAACCCCGACTTTTAAAAAGTCCTCCAGCAAATTGAGGAGCTGGACACGCTGCCCGCGCCCAGCACCTTCTCCCTCCCCACCCGCCCCCACCCCACCGCCCCGCAGGTAGGTCACCGGCTAAGGATAGGCACAGTCGGTGCTGCGTACAGGACGGTGCCGGGCCCTGGGATGTACATGGCTGTTGTTCGACCCTGGGTGTCTATGCACCCAACGGTTTTCTCCCACCCTCTCGTCGGCTGAGCGGGGCACCCCAGGCCCCCACACTAGATCCAGCCCTTGCTCTGGCGGCTTTCTTTCTGATCCAGGAGGGCAGCCAGCGGCTCGCTTGGATTTCCTTCGCTCTCCTCTTGAGGACCATCCCCCACTAGTTGCCCGGGCACCCGAGGTCCCTGGATACCCCCTCCCCAAAACCCCGACCCTGCTTCTCACCGGCTCCGGGGATGAAAGCTCTTTGCCGCCTCAGCGCGGTCTGGGTAGGACTTGGGGATGCCAGGCTTGTCCAATTATAGGGCTCCCCCCTTGCCCCGCCCCTCACTCTGGGCCAGCCCCCAGTCACGAGGTGGGTTCTACCCACCCCACTCTGCAGGGAGGGCAGAGGACGGAGGTGGCACTTGGAGGACCTTGTGGTCCGTGTTCCTCCCCTCCCCACCCCCAGCCCCTAAGAAGGGAGGTGACATTCACTTAGCAATCCTGGAAGTGCCCCTCAATTCTGGGGGCGGGGGGGGGGGGGGGGGGGGGCTGGGCACGGAAGTAGGTGAAGCATGAACACCGCTCCCGCCTCGTAGGTTGATGGATACAATTTGGAGTGGGAGCTGGTGGGGCTTGGACTTGTAGGTCCTGGGAGAGAAGGGAATTGGGGGCCTGGATTCCTGGGCCTGAAGGAGTTGAGAGTCTGGAGTTAGGGGATCTGGTCTCTCCGGTTTGAGATGAGAAGTGTTCAGGGTTCTGGATTCTTTGGTGTGAGAAACGGGACTAAGGCTTTGAATTCCCGGTTCAGGGAGGATGGGGCCAAGGGCTTAAACTCTTGGGCCCTGAGGGAAATGAGGCTACAGTTGTGGAACCCTGGGTCTGAGAGAGGAGGGGGCTGGGGGCTTAGACTCTTGGACCCAGGAGGGGCTGGAGTTGTGGATTCCTGGGTCTCTGAATTGTAAACAGCAAGGTGGAGGAGGCATCTGACTCCTTGAGGTGGGGATGGAGAATTGAGAACCACAGCCCAGGGTCTATTCATATGTAGAGATCAGGCTGGCCTCCACCCTCTGACCTTCACACTGACCCTGCCTTTGCCATTCCTCCCATAGCACTCTCCCCCATCCCTTCATTACAATTGATCACGGTCAAACAGTATGTACCATTGTGGCATTCATCAGGGAAGTTGTAGTACAACTCGGGTTCAGGAATCGCTTAGAATGCAGTTCTTCAATCAGAGCAAATTGGGGGGGGGGGGCTGTGTCCTCAGGCTGGCCTCTTTAGCCCTTTGAGGTACTGCTACCAAGCCTCCTAGCTCTTGGTGGTCTCATGGTACCCCTCCCACCTCTGGACAAACTCTTCGTAAACCTAGCAGGATGGTCAATCCCCTGGACAGGGGTTCCAGACACCTTATTTGCTTTATTGTGAGCTGCTCAATCACCTTGGTGGGCCACAGCACCTCATTTGCATAGCCCCACCCAATCATTGGGAAGAACACAGGAGAAAGGGCCACCACACTGTGCAGGGACCAGGGCTTGATTCTGACTCAGAAGACCAGGGGTTGGGGATGGGGGGAGGTTGTTTGTCTGGATTCCAGGGTCTGATAAAGGGGTGAGAAGGGTGTGGAGAGCCCCAGACGCTATACTTTTTGATAGCCAGGCACCATCAGCTTTCTTCACCACATTTGCTTAGGCACCCATTTGTCTTCAGTGATCCGTTCGACACCTCGTGATCACACAGGCTGATATGTTGTTCCATGTGGGCTTTGTTGCTTCTGAGCTAGATGGCCGCGTTTTTACCTTCAAGCTTTTAAGACCCCAGACGCTATATCTTTTGATAGCCGGGCACCATCAGCTTTCTTCACATTTGCTTATTCACCCATTTTGTCTTCAGCAGTTGTGTCGGGAAGGTGAGCATCATAGAATGCCAATTTAATAGAAGAAAATATTCTTACATTGAGGGAGTACTTGAGTGGAGGCCCAATGTCCTTCTGCTACCTTAATACTAAACCTATAAATATAGGCTCATAGATCTATTTCCCCATCCTCATATAAATATTTGCATACGTACATGTCTTTATCTAGACCTCTATAAATGCCCTTTGTCTCCCAGCTCTTTCCTCTATTTCCCTTGATTCTCCTCCTGTCCCACTATCATGCTCAGTCCCCACCAGGATTTCAGCACTTCTTTGTTACATTCCCCTTGATCATGCCCTACCAGGTCTCCCACACCCACCTCCCCACCAATTTGGATCGCTGGTTGTTCCCTTGTCCCCTGGGGTTCTGCTGGGCTTTGATGCCAAGCTGTTCCCTTAGGGCTCCGGACTCTGGAACAACCGACCAACTAACCGGGGTGCTCGGAGTTGCCAGCTGTGACCTTGGTCAGACAACCTAGCCTTGCTCAGCATCCCTTCCTTACCAATGAACCCCATCTGGTGACACCAACGAACCCCAAACCCCACTCACTGTCATGGGGTCCGTGCTGACTCATGACTGGGCACAGGAAGCCCCGTCTTTTTCTTGCAGAGCTGCTGATGGTTTCAAACTGCTGACCACGTGGACCGCAGCCAGGGCTCCTACTCAGCAAATGAAATACTGGGAACAGGCCATGGCCACACTCGGGCGGCCATTGTCCTAGTTGCGTAACTCCTAGCTGTGGGACAGACTGGGGCTAGGGGTTCAGGGAGACGTGGGGTGGGGAGTCATTCATGGCTCTTGGAGGGTGTGGGGACATTGGGTTCCATGGGAGTCAGAGGCCAAATGCCTGGTCCCAGTGACTGCTCGCCTTGGCCTCGGGGCCTGGCAGGGAGGGGTGAGGTGGGCTGTCGGGGTAACTAGGGGTCATTCTGCCCAGCAGTGGGCCAGCCCCCAAAACTGCTGAGGGGGCAAAGCTAGCTAGTCTTAGTTCCTGTCTGGGGGTGGGGGTGGTGGAGTGTCTGCAGTGCACTTAAGGTCACGTTGGCACAACCCCCAGCACCTCTCCCCCCCAATTTCAGCCACAGGTGAACTCCCTCCTTCTGCTCAATTGCAATCAGGAGCTTACACCCCAAACCCTCCAGGAGATCCCCGCAATGCCCCCTCCGGTCCTTAGAGCCTATGTTAGGACCTAAACTTTCGCCAATTGCTGGAGGCCTTCCCGAAGCTTCTGAAAGCCCCACAGTGCTGGCTGAACTCTATCACGTCCTCCAGTGAGGGGGGCAGGGTGTAGGGAAGCGCTGCCCCTACTCACACCCCCCTATTGGCTTTGGTAACCAGAAAAACGCAAGCGCACAGACAGAGTTAGCAGGGGGCAAAGTCCGCAGCAGCCCGGTGAAGCTGGGGTGAGTGACCTGGAGACCTGGCTCCCCAGTGAGAAACCCTGTACCGCGCACACGGGGATCAAAGGGCGCTTCCATCGCCCGCCGCCAGCACCTCCCCTTGGAGGCGCGGCTCCGCCTCCGGCGCTCCCACAGCCCCCCCTGCGGGCCGGTCCTGGGAGGGCAGGCGCCGCCGCAGGGCCTGCGGGGGCCACCTGGGGACCGACCGCAGCAGACAAGGAAGCACCGGGGTCGCACGTTTGTTTTTTCCATGTCTATTTTTTGTTGTTTTTTCTTTTTTCTGTAAAATGTCCCGGTTCTTCCATAACTTATAAACATGATTTATATTGAGGGTGGGGGCAAGGGGGAGGCTAGGCTGTGGGCCAGGGAAGCTCCTGCTTGCTGCCCCAGAAGGGGGGCAGGGCCTGGACCCCAGGGGGTTGGGGGCACCCCGACATTCCTCTCCCTGAGGTGTCTGGCCGCCCCTGCCTGGCGGTGCTCAAAACGCCAAGTGGCCCCTCGATTCCAGAATCCCTTCTAGGGCCCCCAGGCCCCCCGGAGAACACCCCTCCGGTGCTCAGGATCCTATGCTGCAGCCCCTTCAGCTCCACAAGCCCCTCTCCAGCTGCTGGGAGGAGGGCCCCCCTCCTTCCCGATGCTCCTGGGCCCCTGAGGGGGCAGGGAAGGGAAGGGGAGGGGGCTGGAGCCTCCCCTCCGTGGCCGTGGGAGGGTGTTGGGGGCTGAAGGAGGGGGGTAAGGAGGGTGGCCGCAGGGCGGGGCTCAGCCGATGGTGAGGCCAAAGCCACACTGGAACTTGTTTTTGCGGTGATTCAAGAAGGCCCCCAGTGCCAGGGTCAGGGGTAGTGGGGGCAGCTTCTTCTCCAGCGTGGCACCCACGATCCAGTTGCTGTCCACGGAGCCTGGAGGGAGGGGGGGGGGAGAGTGAGCGGGGTGTGGCAGCCCTGTGCAGCCAGTCCAGACCACCTGGGTCACCAGGGAGGGGCACTCGGACAGCACCCTGGGCATCAGGCAATGGTGTCTGCCGAATCCCCGCACAGGGGGCGCATGTACACCGGTGTGTGGCTGTCCCCGTAACCCAGGGGAGGTGATTGGGGGGGGGGCATTCCTGGGCAATGCAGGGGCTTACTCGCCCTGCATCACCTCTGTGCCACTCCACACCCCCTTGGAGCTGAGTGGGGAGGCCTATACCTTTGAAGATGAGGTTGGCCTTGGGCAGGTCCAGCTGGTAGCCAAAGGAAACACTGGTGTCCTGCATCCGTGTGCTGGCCTCAAACTCCACCCCCACCTGCAGCTGCGGGGTGGACACCAAGTTAGCTTAGCATCCCACCACTCCCAGGGACAGGCCTTCTGACCCTCCCAACCCCCACCCCCACGGCCAAGTCCCCACTCACCTGGTCACTGGCTTTGTGGTAGTACGTCGCGTGCATGCCAGCCTGGCCCAGTGTCACTGTCGCTAACCAGTTGTTCACTGTGAGCGCGAGAGGGGTGGGTGACCAAGGGGACTTGGGCCTCAGTGCCCCCAGCCCCCTCCTCCCTCAGACTCACACGTGTATTTCCCTGCTAGAGACATGACCGTGCCCTCCTCTCCAGGTCGCCGGTGGTAGACCAGCTCTCCGCCCAGGGCCAGACACGGCGTGACGCTCTGGAGGTAGTGGGCCACCAGGATTCCTGCTGGCAGAGAGGGCAGGTGGGGGAGAGAGATCAGCTCCACCCGGCAGGGACCTGGGGTGGGTGCCCTCCTGTTCCAGGGCTGCTAGGCTTGCCTGAGGCTACCGGGCTTCAGGCTGTCCTCACCCCTGGCAGAGGTGGTCACAGTGGCTGGGTCATGCCTACATCAGGGCTCAGAACCAAGGGCGTGACCAGGGGCCCCACCACCTGGCACGGGAGTGACTGGGTGGTCAATGGAGTGGGGGGAGGCAGCGGTGCCCGTAGGACGCATGATGCATGTGGCTAAGGAGGAAGGCAGGTCAGACGGGACGCCGTAACAGATGGGGGCAGAGCGGGAAACAGACAGTGCCACGGAGACCCAGACGTGCACATACCCCTCCCCATATTCGGCCACCGCAGCAGCACCAGGTCTCCTCTGGCTCTTTCTCCCTCAATTTACAGCCCAGTGCCTCAGAAGCCCCTGACCTTTGACCTGTTCCCCTCCCAGGGCCCTCATTTGCACAGGACGGGCCCCTCCACAAAGAGCTCAGCCCCCGATGCCAGCAAACCCCAGGTCCAGGTCCTGGCCCACGGCCAGCCGTGAGGCAGGACGATACCCTGTCCTATCCCACATGTCAGGTTTGGGCTCCTCGTCGCCGCCTCTGCACCTGCCAGGGTCCTTCCTCTCGCTCATGGCTGCTCTATTGTTACCGAGCTGATGTCCCCCCAGGGACTGGCCTCTCCTGACACGTCTGAAGGACAGGAGGCAAGGATCTCAGGAGCAGTCTTTTGACAGCCCCCGGCACTGCCCAGTCGTCACCACCAACACGGTTCAAGGACACCAAGACGCGCCTGCGCTCCTCCTAACCACCTATGGAGAACGCCCCGAAGGACGGGAATTCCCGCCCCCTGTGGAACCCGGACTTGGACCAACCAGGGCCTGTCTGGCTCCAGGGAGGTTTGAGGCCCCCCGGCCTGGACGCTGAGCAGACAGCCCGAGGCTGGACCACATGAAGGGCACGGCACCAGGAGTGGAGGAAGCGTGTGGCACGTAGGTGACAGGCGCCTGCCAGCTCCAAGTCAGGAGGCCTCGTGAGCAGGAAACCCAGCCCAAGATAGCGACGGCCACAATCCTCAACTAGAGGGCCTCACAGTCAACGCCCAGGGCGCAGTGCACTGGTAAATCAGCTACAACCCCCCCCCAAAAAACCTCCATCAAAGTATTTCAAGAGCACTACTCTCTTGACCCAAGCCACGGTCTTCTGGCCGCCTCACCTGTGCAGCTGGCTGGACAAAGACGACTGACAAGTGTCCAGTAAGAATGTGTTCTGAGAGCAAGGGGACACCAGCTACCCCCCACCCGAAGGCAGACAGGAGGGCTTGGAGGCAAGAGGGTCAGGTCTGTGGGACAGGAAGAGGCAGCCTGGGGCTGAGACAGGCCTGGAAGAGGCCAGCTCCCCAAGCTGCTGGGCCAGGTAGACGGGCAGCTGCAGCCATGGCCTCTCCCCTGCTTGGCCCGGGCCCAAACCCGCCTACTTGGGGAAGTTTCCAGAGGCACGAGTGGGACCTTGGATCAGCGTGTCACAGCCACCCCAGCACTTACTTCACCAGACTGACAGCCTCCTCCTCACCTGCCTCCCGAGGACCCAACTCCTAGTCCTCACAGCCCCCTCGGCCCCTCCCAGGCGGTTCACCAGGGCCCAACAGTAAAGGCAAATGTCTTCCCCTCAGGCCTGGGAGCCAGGCCAGGGGCAACCTAGTCCCTCAGAATGGAGGCTGAAGAGGGGCAGGGGACAGGGGCCGAGTGAGGCTTCTGCTCAAATTCCAGGCCTGCTACTTTCTAGCTGGGTGGTCCTGGGCAAAGGATTTCATCTTGGGGCCTCACTGCTCTCATCTGTAAAACGGGGGCACTAAAACCCCTTACACCCCCTGGCCACTGTGGGGCACCACTAAGATCCAGCCAGCATCCTGACATCCTACTTGGAAGATGGCCCCCTTCCACCCACAAGGGGGTGCCGCCATGCTACCCTATCCCCACCGTCGAAAAAATGGAGGCCCAGGGCCACTGTCAGGTCAGAGGCAGATGGGCTGGAGCTGCCTGGCCCCGGAGTCTGTGCTTAGTACAGATTCAGACCCGTGTGTGTCTGAGGCAAGGAAGAGACGCCCGTAAGAACTGAGACAACATGTGGGCTCCGGGAAGAGGGCACACAGGAGGCCAGCCAGTGCGCTGGCGGTGTCAGAGAAACACATGGAGGCTGGTGCCTGGGGCACCAAGTGCCCAGGGCAGTTGCTGGGCCTGTTTCACGCTGTGAAACCCAGTCGGTGTCAACTCATGGAGACCCAGCAGAGGCTTTCTGAGACGGTCGGTCTGTGTGGGCACAGCCAGCCGCCCCTCTCACCCACCCATCAGCCGGTGAGAATGAAATGCCACCTTGGCAGTTAGCAGCCCAGTGCTTGGCCACAGTGCCACCAGGGCTGTTTCGCCCTGGACGCTGGGGTCAGTGGCAGCACCTGCCTACGTGGCTGCTGTGCAGGCTTGATTCCTGCACTGCTTTATGCCCGGTGCTTGGAATGGCCGAGGGATGGAAGTGGCTGCCCGACAGCCCTGGGACCTCCCCTCCATCGCCAAGCATTTTCTGAGCACCTGGAACTGACTGTCGAAGAGAGCTCTCGAGTGTGAGTGAGCTCTCTGTGAGTGAGCCAGGAGGCCCGCCAAGCGCTGGCATCCAGTGGGAAGACCACAGCACAGGGCTTCCACAAATGCCAGGGCCAGGAGGAGCAGGTGGTACAGCCCAGGGGCGGGCCCCTTCCGGACAAGGGGGCTGAGGGCACAGAGGGAAAGCTGCATTTCAAGACCAGGGGGAAGCACTCCCAGGTTCGGAGAGAGCCCGGGAAAGGCCCTGGGGGTGGGAAAAGTAGGTGGCTCCAGAAAAAAAAAGGGCCCAACTGAGGGCTCTGAGCACCAGTTGGCGGGAGGAGCCTGCTCCCTGCTCAGGAAGCTCCAGCAGGGGGCAGCAATGCTTTCTGAATGGCTCCCTGGGGCTCCTCTTGCCTGGGCCCGGAGCCACAATCCTGCCCCCACCGCAGCAGCTCTGCCCACCCCCACCCCCCAAATAAATAGGGTCTCAAAGCTGGACAGTGAACAAGACCAAGTCATAGATGAGACACGACCAAGACCCACGGCGCCCTGTGTGGGGCGCTGACCCGGAGAGCTGCACTGCTGTCCTGGCCGCAGCCGCGTCACCATGCAGCGGCCAGGACGCGATGAACCGCCATCAGGAGGACGGGTCTCAGGCGCAGGGCACCATGCTAGTGAAAAAGAGGAGGGCAAGAGAGCTGGATGGGCGGGAGGGGAAACCAACTCTAAAGACAGCATGGACAAAGGGTCTGGAGCGGCCCCTCTCCTCTGCAGCCCTGGCCCGCTGCTGGTCCATTCTGTGCCCCCAAGGGTGTCCCAGCCCCATGAGGGACAAGGGCCAGAGCAGCTCACGGGGAGCTGTCCCACACCAGGCTTTGTCCGAAGCTTTCCACGATGACTAACCCAGAGAGGATGCTCAGTCACCCGGCCAGTCATCCACTGGACAAAGAGAAACCGAGGCTGAGAGAGGTGGGGGAACCCGGCCACAACCCCACTTTAACAGCACCCCTGACCGTTTTTGAGGCCAGACAGTCCAGAAGGGAGACTGACTCTAGGAAGGAGTAGAGCCGCCTGCCTTCCACACCAAGCCCACCAGGACCTCTTACCTGAGCCCACCAGGACATCTGGGTTCCCCAGGGTGACGGCTGCTGTGAAGTCGGAGCCTCGATACTCCCCATCCACCTGCCAGTTCACAAACTTGGACTGCTGTGTCTGCGGGGAAGACGGCAAGCATGAAGGCCACAGGGGGGCAGTGCGACACAGGTGGGGCCAATGGCCCAGGCCCCCCACTCACCTGGATGGCCATCTTAGACCGGAGGCCAGGGCCCAGCTGGTGAATGACCTGAGCATTGAGGCTGCCACTGTTGTCCATGTCACCCACCAGCACAGGGAATGCCTGGGGAGGCAGAGGGCAAGGTCAGAGTGCAAGGAGCAAGGTGAGAAGCCATTGGCCAGAAAGCCTCAGGCAGAGGCCTGCTCCTCCAGGAAGCCCTGCCTGACCACCTCGGCCTCACCAACAGGACTCTACCCGTTTGCTATAATCTTCTCCCCCACCCCCCACCACCGAGTCGATTCTGACTCTCAGCAACCATACTACACAGAGCGGAAGTGCCCTATTGCGTCTCGCGGGCCATAAACCTTTACAAAAACAAAAGGCTGCATCCGTCTTCCTCTAAACCAGCAGCCCTTAGGTTTGCAGCCGGCCCTGGAACTGCTGTAGTCACCAGAGCACCCCATTTTACCCGGGTCCACTGCAAACATCACTCTCTGGGGCTGGTCCTCTCTTTCCCGCTCCCCCAGACCTCCAGCCTGACACCAGCCTGTGAACTCAGAGAGGCAGGGAGATGACTGGGGCTTGTAGCCCCACCTGTACGCCCCCCCCCCACCAGCCACCATCTGGGCTGCTAAGGCCCAGACCTAATACAGCCCCCACAGCTCTCCTGCCTCTATACCCCTCCCCGCCCCCCACCCTCCATGCCCCTGGGACAGCCTGAGTGACACATAGATATTCAATAAAATCAGACACTGCCTGACCTTCCTTCAAATTTGCCAAACCCTGGAGCCTGACACACAGCTCTGCCCACTGGGGAGGGTGTCATCACCAGGAAGGGGACAACTGGTGCCCCCAGCACCACCTAGTGCTGACCCAGTCACAAGGCAAGGGTGTGGGGGATGCTCATCACCTCCTCAAACACACCCCCACTCCCTCCCCTGGCAGCTCTGGCCTTCCCGGGAGAAAGGCGTGTGGCTGCATCATGTTTGTTCCAAGAAAGACACAATGAGTGAACAAACCAAGGGGCCATAGAGGGAGCCTCACCTCGGTGGGGCTCAGCTGCTTCATCCCCACGTATGTGACCCCAAAGTGGTAGTTGGAATCCCCGACTGTGCTGAGGGCAACTGTGTGATTCACCTGGAAGAGAAAGGCGCTGTGGTAGAGACAGACGGGGAGCCGCTCCCGACAGCCCCAGCAGGGCCCACCCCTCAAGTCTGGGTGCTCCAGACCTGTCTGCTTCCCCACCCAGGAAAGGCTGAGGTAGCTGGGGGTCCCCGGGCTGGGCAGGGGTGAGAAGATGAAGATGAGGAGGCATGGGCTGGCTGGATGGGAAGTTCAGAAAGGATGAACTTTGGCAAAAGGGGGGTGGGAGTGGGACAGCAGCTAATTTCTAGATCGATCCCCACATCATCCTACTATGAGCCCCCACTAAAGCAGTCATCCTGGTACTGTGACTGGAGTCTTTTTAAGCACCAAGGAGGGCCAGCCTTTGAGGGGGAAGAAGACGCAGGAGGCTGGCTGGGAAGACCTTTCTGAACTCACCTGGAAGTGGTTACTCAACCCTTTGTTGACTGTGAGTTTGACACCCTCCATCTGAATGGGGAACAGTTCTGGAGAGGATAGAGGGGGTCACACTCCGTGCCCACGCCCCCTGCTCAGTCTCTTCCCTCCTCCAGGAGCCCCAGCCCATGCACAGAACACCTGCCAGGGCAGACCACCTGGGGCGAGTGACCCGGCAGTACTGCCTCTGCCGGCAACCAAATCCCGGTGCCACCAGGTGACTTTCTCAGTGCGCCTCATGCCCCCGTCAGGTGAGGGTGCTCCCCGAGTAGCATCACCGCAAGGGCACACGGAGTAAATGCCGAGTGAACCCTAGCAGGGGGCCTCAATCTGTCGCCACCACGGTTACCATGGCAATTCCTCCAAGTCGGCATCCGGAGGCCTGGGGTTCCACCCCCACCATGACACCTTGCTGACACTGTGACCTTGGGCCTCAGTTCCCTCTCCAGTCACGCGAGGAGGCTGGCTTGGCTGATGCCCGCAGCGCCTTAGGCTTTTCTGCTGGGCCGGCATCCATCCCGCGACAAGGTCCACCGGCTGATCCCAGCATTCCCAAAGGCCACGTTCCACCAGTCGATCCCAACGTCAACCCCTATCACTGTCCAACGACTGCGATGCTGCGCACGCCTTCCCCAAGGCCCCCAGGGACCATCGGCGCCCGCGAGGCCCCTCGCCCCTCACCCTTGCACTTCCGGTGGCACTCCTCGAACGTGCCCGGGTTGGGCAGGCGGTCGCAGGCCCCA